TCCGAAGAACCTGGAGGACAGGGGGCGTGGGGAATCCTAGTGGGGGGAGTGGTCGGGAATTGGTGTGGGGCGAGCGCTGACTGGGAAAATGGGGAGGGAGGTTATTAAGAGGCAGGAAATGAGGGATCCGGAATGTTGGGCAAGGTAAGACGCAACTCAGGGTGAGCAGCGAGGTAACCGTGCGCAAAAGGGGAGATGGGGAGCGAGGACCTGTTGGGAACAGGTAATTAACAGGATGCTCCGGGTGAGGAGGCCAGTGTGACATTTTGGGGGTTGAGTTGAGTGAAAACCAGTGTTTGAGGGGTTGACTCGGGAAACTGCTTACTCTAGATTGAGAGCGTTAGTTGACTAGGAATCTCAGCTGAGTAAAGGTTGGATTGAGAAATGCTGAGATGTACGTGGCCACAACCTAGAGTTGAGGGTTCAGCTTGGAGTGGTGTAAAATGAGGGAAGGTAGTGTTAAACGTGGGCAGTGTGTGTTGTTGAGTTATACTGATCAGGAAGGAAAATTCTTAAAAGATAACACTGGGGAGACAAACTGGAAGAACTGGTGTGTACTGAAATTCATAATTTTAAAGGGGTTGGAATAATCTGTTACTGCTTTGGGCTCTCCCAAGATCCACCTCCTTTTTCATGCAGTTTCTGTTTCTGAATGACTTACTGAATGCTTTTGGTGACTTTTCTCCTTTTACAAACCGCAAATGAAACCCAGGGAATAAGGACTGTTCTACCCAGCCTATGGATTTACTAAGTAATTTTGAGGCAAATTGTTACAGTCTCATTTTTTTCCCCTTCGAAATATAGGTTTGGTCATTGTCAGCCTCTAAAAGATTGTGTTAACCAAATGGGGTCTTTTTTAAGTTTTACTTATTGAGAGAGAGACAGAGAGAGAGAGGAAGGAGAGAGAGAAACACCAATTTATTGTTCCACTTATTTATGATTCTTGTATGTGCCCTCACCTGGGATCGAGCCTATAACCTTGGACATGTTGGTAGGACGCTCTAACGCATCCAGCTACCAGGGCTGGACTCCCAAATGGGATCTTTAAAGTGGTTATAAAGAAGTGCTCTCTGAAAACAAGGTTGAGATACTGATGTTTAGAAGACATGTCTTTCTTGTCAGCCTTGCTGCATTTCTTTGCTAAGGAAGAGTTGGTGATTTGATACATGCCCACTTTTTAAACTTTTCTCAGCCTCAACTTTTAGTAGCCATAAATTTCATGTGATTGTATTACATTGTGTTGGCTACCACCAAGGTAGAGATAAGGAAGTTAGAGTTGGGGCGAATGAGATCTGTTGATGGAGAATAGGGGAGAATGCAGTCTAGCCACCCAGAATACTTTTCTCTTTAAAAAAAAATTATTTTTTCATTTTTCAATTATTTTACTCTTGACAAACACTGACTTTCCTCATGATCTCTTTGAAAATTCACCAAAGTATAATATTTTAGATAGTTGAACCTTTTTATTTTGGTCCATTCACTTTGGTCCTGTTGCCAGTTGGAGACCAGTGTGCTTGTGAACAATTTTAACTTTATTGTTAATCCTTTGAAATCTGGACTGTTTTAGCTTTTCCTTTGGCCATAATACCCTAAGTACTTTGCCCATAGGTGAACTTGTTTAGCTTAGAAGTGTTCCTGAAAGTCTTGGCATTTCTGAAGTCTGACGTGGATTTGCTTAAGAGGGGGCAGTTTCCAATTCTATCTCACACTTGATATCAGAGTAGTGTTTACCTTAGTTGATACTGATTAGTTATGTGATGTCAGCACAAAGGTGAAATGCAGGGGAAGGGAAGTGTTGAGAACAGTGGTGTTTTCAGGTTTTAGTTTTAAAAAGGCAAGAGAGGAATCCTGTTCCTATTAAAGAGAAAATTGTTGGGTGTTTTTTCTTGACTTCTTGGGCTCTTTGATTGGGAGAGTAACCAGTTGTACTTGCATCTGTTTTCCTATTGCTGTTGAAGTAATTCTGAAAAGCATGGCCTGCAGGCTGTTTCAGCAAACCATAGTCTTCATACTAACTCCAGGAAGAGCTGTGTGCTATGAAGTATGTACACTGACTTGAGAGTAAAAACCTGCTTAATATTTTGTTATCATTTCAATCTACAGTGTGTCTTTTTGGTTTGTTTTAAAGAAGGGTTTGAATCAGTTATGGGGGCTCAGAGCTTTGGGAAGTCTGGTATAGCCTGCTTGTTTAACATAATGATTTTCCATTTTTTTCCTGTCCTTTTAGGTTTTTCCATTGCTCTGCTTGAGTCAGTCCTAAGTGGAAACGGCAAATTACATATTTTTTTCCTCCTTTTTAGTCTCTGGTGGACATCTTGTCTGTGTCACAGTGTGATACCACCAAATTGAAAGGATTCTTGACTGCTTCACATGGGGTGGGTGACAGAAGCTGAGCTGGGTTTCCTGGGCCAGAGAATGGACTCTGTCAAAGCAAAGAATAGTTGCAGAAACACAAACCGGGATCTTGAAGCTGTGACTAACATTTTGGCAACATACTTCCGTTTGCCAAATAACTTCTTTTCTTCTTGAGTGTGATTGTTGATCTCCTTCTCAAAGTAGGCTCTTGTTGCTACTGTTCTTCACACAACTGCCGAGCAGAAGTTGGCAGAGTTCTGGTTGACTGTCTCTTGAGGGACATGCCCCGGATTAGAGTAGATGGGGTGTTCCATGTCAAAATGAGGTTCATTGGCAGATCCTGAGAGCTGCTCTGCAAGGAAATAGAGGCAGTACTCTTCACTGAATGTCTTATACTAATATCTTTTTTCTAAATTCAGATCTGTTTCTTATTCATCTAGTGATTAAATGCAGAATCATTGCCTTTGTCTAGCTTTGAAAGTCCAGGGTATTGAGGAAGAGAGAGAGATTCCCGCAATTTCCCCCCCCTCCACACTTACTACCAAGCCTTTGAGCTTGGGGAACCACAGGCCAAATTCATGGGCACTGCTTGGTATGTTATAGAAGGGTATTTAAAATGCTGCGTAGAACTTTATGGAGAAAAACGATGTCAGTAGGGAAAAAGGTGATAAGTTTGCTAATGCCTGTGTCAGTTTAGATTTTGGCTTAACATGTGGAAAGAGCCTGTGGAAGCAAATAAGTTATCAAATGGAGCCAGGAATTGGCTTTAACTTGCCACTTAGGCTTGGCAAAGTTATAACAATTTAGAATGACTATACTGAATACTTTGTTCTACTTAGTAAATGCTCTTTTCAGTATGTTCTACTTAGTAAATACCCTTTTGTTTTTCAGGGGATAATTACTTGAACATAATAGTGTTTCCGATAGGTCTTGGGATGGATTATGAAGATCATTTCTTGCGATATATGACAGTGGTTCTTGTAAGTGGAGAGCCCAAGACAAATCCTCTCTTTGGTGGCCCTGGATTCAACTTTCTCATACCGTCATTAGTCCAGCATATTCTGTTCCTGATATGCAGGTTTGCAAAACTTAACAGGTTCAGATCAAAAGGGTTTGTGTGTGTGTGTGTGTGTTTAATCTGCACCCAAGGATATTTTTTCCATTGCTTTTCAGAGAGAGTGGAAGGGGGAGAGAGAGACATCAATTGGCTGCCCCCGCAGGCACCCCGACCGGGGCTGGGGATTGATCCTGCAACCGAGGCACATGCCCTGGCCAGAACTAAACCCGGGACCCTTCAGTTTGAGGGCTGACGCTCTAACCACTGACCAAACCAGCTAGGGCTGTGTGTGTGTTTTTAATCAGCGTCTGAGGATATGTTTATTGATTTTTGGGGAGAGAGGAAGGGGGAGAGAGAGAGAGAAACATAGATGTGGGAAAGAAACGTCGATCGGTTGCCTCCCTGTGCACCCCAACTCGTAACTGAACCTACTACCTAGGTATGTGCCCTGATCGGGAATCGAACCTACAGCCTTCTTGGTGTGTGGGATGATGCTCCAACCAACTGAGCTACCCAGCCGGGGCCAAATCCAAAGGTTTTAACTCTGGTCCAGCGCTTTGATTGTGATAACAAGTATGATTATTGGAGTTGTGTTTAAACAAGTCTCAGATCCTTCTTTCCTTATCTTGAAGTTTGGCAAATCTGTATTATAAGGAATGTGTATAGCTTTCCTCCCCATTCTTATAATTGATTTTCAAAAAAATTTTAGTTTCTTGCCCGGCTGGCATGGCTCAGTGGTTGAGCACCGGCCTATGAACCAGGAGGTCACTATTCGATTCCCAGTCAGGGAACATGCCAGGGTTGCGGGCTTGATCCCCAGTAGGGGTCGTGCAGGAGGTAGCAGATCAGTGATTCTCGTCATTGATGTTTCTATCCCTCTCCCTTCCTCTCTCTGGAAAAAAAAAATTTTTTTTAAATTTCTTAAACTTTATGGATTTAAATTAAGCTCCATTTAGATTTTGAGGCCCCTCAGAGAAAATAATTTATTTTTAGTTAATATTTATGATCTTTCTTTAGTACAAATTCATTAACCTACTTCCTATGCTTGTAGAAACACTGAATCCAGTAATCCCTTTTTTTTCCTCCTAATAATCCCTTCTGACTTTGAAAACATTCTCGGAAGTCCAGATTGGGACATTTGGTTGCAAAAAAGGTGGAATTTTCTTCTAAAGTGATACAATTTCATATGCGATATGCTGTCTGAGATTTGTGGGTGAGTTCCTTCTTTCCATTTCCACCCTCCCAGTGCTCAAGTTGGTAGGCAGGATGTCTGTCATCAAAGATCCAAGTATGAAATATTTAGACTCTTTCCATCACTGTCTTAGAAATAAGAACAGGACTGTCTTTAGCAAATTTTACTTTTTTAATAGATAATACATTAACATGGCTCAAAATTCAAAAGGTGAAAAAGGGCACACAGTGAATAGTCTACCTTCTATCCGTAATCTATTGTCTACTCATTCTCAGAGACAACTAATATTACCAATTTTTAAGGTCCTTTTCAGAGATGCCATGTACATATAAAGCAAATACATATATTTCTTGCTTTTGAAAAATCAAGTGTGGCACACACTATTAATATGCTCTGCTTTTTCTTTTTCATTTATTTTGGCAGTCATTCCATATAAGCAATAAAGAGATTTGGCACCAGCCCTGTACTGGTAGACATTTTATTTATTTATTTATTTATTTATTTATTTATTTATTTATTTATTTATTTTGATTCTAGAGAGAGAAAGGGCAAGGGAGAGAGAGAGAAACATTGATGGAGAGAGAAACGTTGATTGGCTGCTTATTTGCCTCCTGTACATGCCCCAACAGGTTCAAACCTGCAACCCGGCTATGTGCCCTGACTGAGAATCAAACCCACAACCCTCCAGTACACAGGGTGATGTGTACTGAGAATGGAACCAGCAACCAACTGAGCCACACCAGCCAGGGCACTGGTGGACATTTAAAATGTTTCCAGTCTTCTGCTATTACAAACTATGCTCCATTGGATAATCGTATATATTTGGCCTTTTGCGTGTGTGACTGTATCTGTAGGGTAAATTACAGCGGTGGGTAAAAGTCGGTTTACAGTTGTTTGTATGGAAAATAATACAGTAATAAATAATAATACAAGAATAGCCCTGGCCAGTGTGGCTCAGTTGATTGGGCATCATGCCATGTGCTGAAAGGTTGCTGGTTCCATTCCCAGTCAGGGCACATGCCCGGGTTGTGGGTTCAATCTCTGGTAGGGGGCGTGCAGGAGGCAGCCAGTCAGTGTTTCACTCTCACATTGATGTTTCTCTCTCCCTCTCCCTTCCTCTCTCTCTAAAAATGAATAAGAAAAAAATAATAATACAGGAATAAACTCCATGTTTTGCATATTCACACTGTAAACCTACTTTTGCCCACCCCTTATAAGTAGAGTTGCTGAAGCTGATTGGTTTTTTCGGGAGGGGGGCTGTTATTCACTTATTTGACAAGAATTTTTGAGCTCCTTCTGTGTGCCAAGCACTGGGCTAGGTGCAGGAGCTATAGCAGTGAACAAAACGGACTCAGTTCCTGTACTCATGCAGTAATGGTCTAGTGTGGAAGAGCCATTAAACAAATAATTACTTTTGCTATAAATGCTTTGGAGACAGCTGGTTGGGAGCCTAACCCAGGTTGGTTGGGAAGGAGGTCATCAGGGAAGGCCTGTGAGGAATTGACTTTTAAGGCTGAAACCTAAAGGATGAGGGGACGTCAAAGACTGTTCTAACCCGGCTGGGCGTGGCTCAGCGGTTGAGCATTGACCTAAGATCCAGGCGATCAGGATTCGATTCCTGGTCAGGACACATGCCCGAGTTGTGGGCTGCAGCCGATCAATGACTCTCTCATCATTGATGTTTCTATTTCTCTTTCTCCCTCTCCTTTCCTCTCTCTGAAATCAATAAAGATATATATATTTTTAAAAAAAAGACTATTCTAGGTAGACATGCATAGGTGAAGGTTCTGAGGAGGGAAAGAACGCGGCTATGTTGAAGAATTGAAAGAAGTTCCAGAGTCTGGAGCTTCTGGAGTGAAAAGCAGAGAGGTAGGAGGCAAAGCTTCAAAGAGAGTGAGCTCTCCAAAAATGAATAAATAGCATAGTGAATTTTGAGCTCAACCTTTATAGTAGAGATTTTTTTCTGTCATTTCTTTCCACAGATACTAGTTTACTGGTGTTAATGCTAAAACCATCAATATCATAAAGAAATCTGATGCTTATACAGTGGAACATGTTTTCTATAAGAATTTCCCTGGGTAAAGCCTATTTTGGTCTTGGTTTCTTTTAGGTCTTGCAAATTAAACTTTTGTGGCTGGATTAGGTCTTAACATTTTAGGATCTTAGAAATTGGTATAGATACTAGTGATTATTGGGGAGCAATTCTTTTTTTTTTTTTTAATTGATTTTTAGAGAGAGAGAGAGAGACATTGATTTGTTGTTCTACTTATGCATTCGTTGGTTGATTTTTGTATGTGCCTTGGCTGGGGATCGAACCTGCAACCTTGGTTTATGGGGACAGCTCTAACCAACGGAGCTACTAGGCCAGAGTCTGGAGAGCAATCTTAGTTTATGGGGATGCTGGAGTGTTAGTTTGCCAGACCTGCTATTTAGTAAATAGAAAACCTACTTGTAGGGAATATTGACTATTTTTTGTAAGCCTTATGGGGCTAGAGAAAGAGCACAGACAGATGTTCTTATTATGAACTGGTGAATATAATATTCTGTCACCCTTCATCTAGACCATATGTCTTAATGTGTGACACATGACTCTTGTTGGACATACAAATGAATCAGTAGCCCAACGGCCATTATAAAAAAGCATGAAGATATTTTTATCTGCAATTACATTGACTTTTTTTCAGAAATCACAGTACTCTTCCTTAAAGCCCAGATGGACCTGCTTGATTTAGTACCTTTATTGTGTAATTGGATCAGCTTGCCCTGTTTTCATAACTTAAAGTAGACTCTTGGTTTAGCTGCCCATCACTAGTGATCAGGAATGAAAATGTGCAAATTTTTCTAGCATGTCAGCAAGGAACATCTGTGTATCTGATGGCTTAAGGGTATTAGAGTGAGAGAGAAAGAGACTCCTAAACAATGAAAGTCGCAGCTTAATACATTATGTTTGAAGTGAGGCATGACACTTCTCTCCATGTGAAGTCTGGATCAACATTTCATGGAGCATCTGTTGAAGTTTTCTTCCAGGCTTTTTCATTACTGGAGACTGTCATCATTGTGTTTTCCTTACTTCTGACTGTTTTTGGTATATGCTTTCCTACCTTTATACAGTGTTTGGGGTGTGGTAATGAAGGATGGTACATGGAAGTTGAGGACTAGTAATATGAGATGTGGCTAGATTAGAGTGAGAGAGTCTTTTTTGTGATCAATAACTAGGTTTCAGCTCATCTTGTAATCATCTTTTAAATCTAATTAATAGTTTCTTAGAACTTCTAAAGAAGTTTTGTTAACAGGTATTGGTGGTTTTGTTTTTCAGTTAGTGCATTAAATTGAAAACAAGTCCTAAAAAGGATCTAAGGTAACTGATTTTAAGATTTACCCATTTTCCTGCTTACCTTTACAATTAATTTTGGTCATGATTTCTTATAGTGACCTGGAAGTTCCTCACGTATTTGACCTGTGGTGTAAACTGTGGGGTGGTGAACATTGTTTGGTTACACCCAGACTGTCGCAGAGATTCAGGTCACATTAGATAGACTGCTTCCATTAGTGCTGAATTGAAGACACTGTTTCTAGAATCAAGCATAATAGCCTAATTATTTTGTTGTTGTGGTGGTGGGGTGGCGATATTCTACTGTCCTTAACTATATCAGTGACAGACCCAGTATTGATTGACATTAGTTTTAAAAATCTTGATCAATCTGAAGCTTGGTTTTCCTTATACAGTGTTAGAATTTTTGGAGTTTAAGTAATTAAATTAAATTAAATGTTTTTTTAAAAAAATCAAAGTAGTAAGAATATATAGTTTAAAGAGTCAGATTGTACCACA